TTGTCAAGATGTCATTTTTAAGGATAAGTTCTATCCCAAGTGTGATTCATTCAGTCGAGGGTAATGCGAGTCTGCCTCGACGAGCGTTATTTATTCATTAATAAATGATCAAAATAATTTGAATATTATTCTATCAGCTATTTGTTTAGAACAACTAAAATCTTTAAAATGTTATGATTATGATTTAATACAAATGATAAATCCCAATCAATTTGTATCACTTCAATTTTTGATAATATTCAAATATGCTACAAATGTAGATCCCGAATTAATTATTGATTTTATTTTAAGAATTCCACAATTAAAATCTTGTCAAATCAAAAATTCACAATCTCATGGTCGAATTCCAATCATTCCTTTGAATTACGACAGAAACACCGAAAATCTTTTATCGACTTTAGAGTATTTTGATATGGAATCAAAATCTCCTTTGTCATTTGTTAATTTTTACTCAAATATTCTTCGATATACACCAAATATTCAATATTTCAATGGCTTTGTAACGCATCGACGTATTCATTCGAAGATTCGATATGAACCTATTGATAATTTAACTCATTTATCCACATTGATATTAAGAAGTGATTCAATTGAATTTGAACAATTACATCTCCTATCACAATCAACTCAAAATCTTCGAAAATTACAGTTGGATTGTCTAACCGCTTCATCTGATCGATCATTTCTTAATAATAATAATTGGATACAATGTTTATCCTCATGGAAATATCTAAGATATTTAAAAATATATATATCAAAACAAAATATTATGTTGGTCATCATAATTTTCAACATATTCGTCAAACATTTCCATTGATTTCATTTGCAATTGATCAGTATAGACGACCTAAATTTATGGCATCATTAACCAGTGGAGGACAAGTTCTATTCACTGTACATTATAAAGATGATTAATCCGGATGATTTTTTATATTGATTTTTATATTAAGAGTGTCAACGAAAGAAATATCTATAATCATTATAATTCAGAAATAAATTTGAACTTGAAATACACAATCAAGCGAATTCGGTGCGATAATTAGTCTAGATTTAGTTGATATCTGGAGAAATTGCTAGAATTTCTAAAGTGAACACTGTTTAGACTCATCTCTGTGTGTAATATTCGTATTGTTTATTAGATATTTATCTAGTTCTTTAATATATTTTTGCCAATTATTCATCAGTTCGTTTACTTTATCTTTATCTCCACATTCTTTAACATATTCTCGTACAATGCAATATGTCAGAGTGACAATTCTTTTATAACGATATCTATCATATACATCTCATTTTGTGCTTTTGAATCAAAGATGGAGAGACTTAGAAAGTTGAAAAAACAATTTAGTAGTTGTCAATTGCACTCTCCTACAAGTGTTCTTTTAAGTAGTGTTATTCTTTAACCGGAGTCAATGATGATTTTCTCAAAGAGACGAATAATATTCTCAATTAATGTTGCGATCAACTGTTGTAAAACTACAAAGAATATATTTCACAATTATTATCAGAAAAAGATTCTGTTATTTTCACTCAATTCGAACTATACACTGTGTGGCTTTATTTATACTCCGATTGATGACACTAGTAAAGATGAGAGTACCATTCTGTTCGTCCCTGTTCACTCTAGATATACGCTTTTTCTAATTCTTAGACATTAGTCATCAAACGCATACCCTCACCCTCAAGATTTCTAAAATATGATTAAGAGTAGTTCTAATAAATCATCTTTCTTCTAGATGTTTCCCTTGTCAGCATAACTGTGAAGTAGAATTTAACTAGGAAGATCAAATATGTCAATATTCGTGTTACTACTTAATTAAACACGTTTAATGTTATGTCAATAGCGCCAACTCGAGAAATCACTAATCAGATCATTATATAAATGGGTGTGTCCACTGGAAATGTCCAGGTCCATACATCGACTTTCTCCGAACTTGAAAAAACTTTTACAGCGGATAGAGCTCTTCTTCCTGATCATTTTCGTATAAGATAGTCTATACTTTTGGTCCCATCTTTCTTACAAAAAACTTTTTCATGTTTTTGTCATTTTTTCAAAAAAATCAAGATTTCTTCCTTAAAAAACTTGATATTTCTCAGTGATAATCCATTCAAACTATACATCCATGGTGATATTCTGAATCCTCAAGTAAAGCTGCATCTGAATATCGTAATATTACAAGTAAAACCCTTCAAATGTCACATTTTCTCTTCTAGATTCTGATGAAGTCAAGTGATAACCTGATAGAAATCGGCCATTAAATTCTACAAAATTATTTTCATATTTTTTTAAATACTTTTATCTTCGAGAGAGTGTATAGTTGAGAAAAAGAGTTATATCTTGAGCGATAGAATAATTAGTTACTCTATTTACATATTACGTAAATATCTAAAAGCGTTATATAACTGTATTTATTATAATCAGATTTATCAGAAGAATATGTTTATTTAGGTGAAGTTTTAATAAAGCAATGTAAATATTTCTTTGCTAATTTCGTTTGATTAAATTCTTCTTTAAATGCACTTGACGGGAGAACATAAAGAATAAAACCAAGAACTTGTGGTGAATAAGAAAGAAGAAATGATGATAGAAGTAAATGTTGTTTAAACTCATTTAATTGAACACAAGCTAAACTAAATGAAAGAATAGCTTGTGGTAAAGAAGCCATAATTATAATTGTTGGTGTTATATAAAGTTCTTTTTGTAGAAAGAGTTGTTTTTTTATCAATTGACTCAATGTTATTTTATTATTATTTGAAGCTTTTGATCGACTACGAGCAGCATAAATAACTAATAAAGTAATTGAAATAATTTGAATAGAAAAAGGTAAAAGATGATGTATCAATGTATTGATTCGATTATAAATAGAAATTGAACTTTGATCAAATCGAGTAATACATAATAAACTTGATGAATTGGGTTGTGAAATTGTTTTATAAAATAATATTTCATGAAAATGCATAAAACAAATAATGATTAATGTTAAAATTGTTATAGATATTGATAGAAAAGATTTTTTTAATAAAACGGATGTTGGATATAAAATAAGGGATAAACGATCAATTGTTACCCAACTTGTTAACCAATATGTTGAACGAGTGAAAATTGAAAGAAGATAACTAATCGTTTTACAAGATATATCATTGCTTTTTCCTTTTGTTCCAAAAAGAACATGGAGAAATTTAAAAAATAAACAAAATAAACTTAATTGATTAAGAATAGTTATAATCAAAAGATAATTTCCAACACCAAATTTTCGAGATTGTTTTCTTTTAAAAGTTAAAAATGAGCAAAAATTTGTAAAAGTTCCAATAATTAAAAGAATAAAAGCAAGACTAATATAAATCAATTGAATAATTATTGAACTGGAAATTAATAATGAATCTAAAGTAAAACTAAATGCTTCTAAACTAAATTCACAAAGACGCCCTTGATAACATGATGATCGACAATGACAAATGAAATCATCTGAATCTTCTAAATCACCTTTGATACATTTTCCATTTAAAAAACATTGAG